CGAACATTTATCATCGCATACAATCACAAAGAAAAAGTGGGGAAAAACACCATCTTAGATTCAAAGGAATGTGACGTAAAATTTTGAAAATGAATATCAATTGCTAAGGAACTTTAAAAAATTTTCACTAATGCCTTTTGTACCAAGAATCTCGAAAGATGGGGAATGACGGACGGCAATGGTACGAGCATACACCGGTTTATAACGACATCTAGTGACAGAAGTGGATATGCATTGCTTAAGTTCTGTGTGTAATAGGTGAATGACGTTTGATAAAATATTGTTGCAGAAGTTTTCGCAAGAAGTAATTTGTTTTTCGGGATAAAGTTAAGCAAGCGCACATAGGAAATACCGCTTGTGCGAGAAATAATTCTAATTGACCGGCGTAGAATTGGCTTAATCCAAATAAAACTGCGGAGCAGTAGAGAAGATGAGTAACAACACAAGAATCGAGTGAGTAAATACAGTGGAACTTTTAAAGAACGTGAGGGGGTAATAAAGAAACAGAACCGTCGAATCTTTACAGAAGTAGAAGTTAAGTGTGAGGTCCAGGTGAGATCTTGGCAGATAGTGACACCAAGGTATTGTAGAGAATTTACTGGGGGAACAAGCTGATTGTTAACATAGAGTGCAGAACAATTTCATTCAAAAGAATGTAGTCGTTCTCCTTTGATGAGCAAAAAAGTGACATCGCTACATTTAGACACAATGAGAGGTAACTTGGAAGACGAAGACCATAAGTTTAAGGCAGATAAACTGGTTTGAAGATGTGAGAAGCGGAAATCACCTTGGAATTTGGAATCAATTGTGACATCATCAGCATACTTAATAAGAAGATCATTTGGGTTAGTGGGAAGGTCACGAATATAGAAAGAGAAAAGCAAGGGGGACAGAATTGCTCCCCTGGAGCACTCCTGAGTTGACTGGTACGGAGTCAGAGGTTTTTCCAAGAAACTTTGTGAATTGTGTTCTACCAGCAAAATAATCTTGGAGTAGAGAGAGGGTATTATCGGACAATCCAGCACCTCGGAGTAGAGACAAAAAGCTTGCTCCTATCAAAACAGTTAAAAGCGTTACTATAGTCGGGGAAACACATACGAAATGCCCTGCAGTGCATGTCTAGGGATCGCAAAACTGAGTTTGCCTAATGCGTTGGAGCATCTAAAGCAGAAGGTTGTTTGCGATAAGCGAATTGATGGTTATCTGTCTGCCCAGTGTTAGGAACGTTTAGTAAAACAGAAGTGCAGGCGATTGGTCGCAATTCTCCAGCTTCTTTTTTTGGGACTGGTGTGATGCGTACTGGCCTCCAACAGTCGACAATCTTTTGTTCCTCGAAGCAACGGTTGAAAATATCGGCAACTGGCTCCGCCAGATAATACACACATTCCCTGAGGACGACTGGACATAGTCCTTCGGGACCGGAAGCTTGTGATGTTTTGAAGTACATCAGCTGTGCCCGCACCTGATTAGAATTGACATGCGAAACTTCATGATGGCCAACTGATTAAAAATATGGATACGATATTTCAGTTGGAGTTGACGTGGAAAACATGCAGTTGCGTTCAGCTGTTAGGGGTTGAGGTCCTCGTAGTCCGACTTTTGTTCCACAGAGTTTGTTCATAGCACTCTAGATTTACTTGCAATTCCGAGCACCAAGTATGGTTTCACTGGAGAGTTTGTCAAGGTTTGGGATCTCAGTCTTGATCAGCACTGATATTTGGTTAACTAAAGCTCGGTCACAATTTGTATATGTCCGTTCCTCGTTTCTTCTGACGGTCTTCAAAGTGAGGGAAAAAAATTGATTGATCGATACTGCTGATCCATGGCCCAAGGCCCGGAAATTGGAACGCATCGGTGCTTGGCTGGCGTCATTTCCCAGGCTTGACTCATCACAGTGACCTTTCTTCCCACGGTCCTCATACTCCGCGTAAGAAGGTTTAGATTGCGTCCTCCAGAATGCGAAATATGCCCCCGCGAGATCAAGCTTTGTTGGTGGAGACACTCATTGCTAAGTAAGAGATTTTCACGACAAAAGAGGGACAAATTTGTGCACCGTTTCCGCAGTAAAGATATAAAGTCCCCTATGAATTAAGATGGACCATCTTTGTGTGTGTGTGTCCTGTTTACAGAGAGCCGAATTGTGGTTGTAAAAATATGAAATATGATCTGGTTTGTTAATTTGCGATCGGTGCAATTAGCGACAGACATCGCGTTAGGTTGCCTTGGTAATGATCTTGCGATGAACCGAATCTCCGGCTGCAAATTTTAGTTAATATGCAGCTGTGCCACTTGGGTGTATCGATCCAGTCATCTTATAGATTCATTTAAAAAAAATTATTTCTTGTTCTTATTATTTCGCGTTCTCTTCTTAACTATCATTCTCTTCCGCCGGAGCTCAGAAGCGCGTTAGTTACAAACCGAGCTGAAAACATCTGACCCTCATAACTATGACGTAAAACACTCGGTGTTGTATGTCCAATCGATCAGAACTACAGGAAGGTAGGTTACAAAATACGAACACTACGTGTATGTTGTTCGGTCACTGCAAAAAAAACATGTCAGCTTGTGTTTTTTCTTCTGTAGAA